AATAAGTAAAAATTGATTTTAAAAATACTATAGTGTTCTGGAAATCCATTATCAAGGTTGCACTTTATAATATAATAATATATATACACACACATACATACATACATACATACATACATACACATACAGGGGTGTGGAAATTTTTTACAAAAAACTACTCGTCCAAGGGCTAAAGCGGGGGCCAAATCTACTTGTCCTTCATGGCAATCTACTTGTCCTGATACAAAAAAAAAGGGATGCACCAATACCGGTTTTTCAGTATCTAGTACCGATGTTTTGCTTTCGGATCTCGCCGACACTGAATACTAATACCGGTGCTTCCGCTGACATAGAGCAGGCTTCCCTGGTAATCAGGAAGCCGGGCAGCGGGTAATGACATCCCGCCCGGTTTCCCGATTGCCACGGAAGCCTGCTCAATGTTGTTTGGCCTGCTTGATTGTGATTGGCCGGGAAATCTGCTTCCTGGCCAATCAGGAGGCCGGGCGGCGAGTAATGACCCGATTGACCGGGAAGCTGGTCAATCGGGTCAGATTAAACCTTTCCCTGCGATTGTTTTTTTTCTTTTCTGACATCGGGACCTGACCCCGGTTCGTTGTCACAGTCCGGCTCTAACTATGAGGATGAGTGGAAATCAATCACCTCAAAGTTCTCCTTTAAGCACTTACAAGATACATGGGCCTGTAGGAAAGACTACATATTGACATTTGTTAATATCAATTTTCAGAAATACTCAAAGGCTGCGTTATCCGCAGCAAATGACTAGCTGCAATGTACTGTAGAAAGCAACATTTTTTTATTGAAAGTATATAGAGAGCCAACATTTTGTTTCGTTTGAGACAAAGTAGAGAATTGCTGCTTGTGTCCTCGCTAGGGCCCCCCCCCCCCCCCCCCCTCTTTTTGTACTGGTGACCAATATCAACAGAACAGAAAGTCATAAAAATCCCAAATTTTACAGTTTTCACCACAAAAGGAGAAATCTTCCAATGCCTTTGGATAAACTTTAAAGTATCATACTTGTGAGCATATAACACTATCTGTAGAATTATGTATAAAGCTGGCCATACACCTTACAATTATCTGCAGATTTTCTGTGGTCAGATGGAAAAGGTGCAACAGATTCCTCCATCTACGCTAAACTGTGTGGATGGAGTAATCTCCACCTGGGCTAATCTGTTGCACTTTTTCCATCTGACCACAGAAAATCTGCAGATAATTGTAAGGTGTATGGGCACCTTAACAAATACTTTCCTTAACAACTGTGAGCATGTCTACAAAATTAATCTAATTTATGTGTTTATGTTACCTCTCACCTCCATAGAAAGTGAGTCGCATAGAATCAACACCTTAGAATGATTTTTAAGCTTATAGTGATATTAACCCCCTTTTTTTTTATTACTAGGAGACTGCATTTATATAGAAGTTGTTTCTGTTTTTAAATCCATTAGATCCTCATTTTCTAGTGGGTTCCTGCAGCGCTATAACCCCAAGCTAAGTGGCTGCTGTGGAGGCACTCGTGCATGCTCGTTCACGGCCAAGTCCGCAGTGGCTTGTTTCAGACACAGTATTTGCTTCTCCTAAACATTTAATCTTTGCAGTTGATGAAAATTGTTCTTGTGCGTCAGTTCTCATCAGCTCCTAAATCTCCAATGGCAACATTTCACAGGGTATCCTTGTGTTCACAACAGCAACATGTTAGATTTTTCCTCTTATTAAATAGCATGTTATACAAACCAACTCCCGGAAGTATTGGAGCTTAAAACTATTTTAAAAAGAGCACATCTGGTGCCTACCTCAAAACAAGTCTTAAAGTTGCCTCTCACAAAACCAGCTAGGCACTAAGAATTTACACTGAGGAGAATCCTCGGAAAGAAAAACATTTTTCTTTCATAATACATGTGCCAGCTTAAAATATTCTCATTAAATTTGTTAGCAGCAACGCAAGGAACCTGCCAATGCCAACCTGATTTTTAAAAGCGTTGGTTCCATGGCTGTCAACCTACTCTTAACCTTATTTCCAAGTGCGTCACAGCCCCGGAGCAAGCATGCTACTGCTGAGCTCTGAATGCTTTCCCATATATCTGATCTTGATCAGCAACTCACCAGGCATTGAAGCCACAGACCTGGACGCATCTTTCAAAGCCAAGTCTGGCTGCAGGTTCCTGCAGACTGTAGAGACTGAATGGCTCAGGCATACAATGACAGCTCAAAAAACCAAAGGGTAAGAAAAGGCAGAGGTAAGGGGTGATATTTACAAAGTTGCTTGCTGCCTCTGTACATCTAAATGCCAGAAAAACACAGTTGTATTTTTTAAGTGTCTCAGCAAATCCATTGCTGAAATATAAAAATGATACTTAATCATTCCACTAGGTGGCAACAAACAAGAGACACGGATTTGGTTTAACATCATAACTTGAACTTGAGATCACACTGTACCCAGTTTGTTTACATGTTATGAAAACCTAACATAAAAACTGACACTAGCAGCTGTGTGAACTTGTATCCAATTTGTCTAATAAATGATACATCCAAGTCATATGTTACAAACTTGCTTATCTATAGAAACTTGTCTTTCTTGAAAATGTTATTATCAGTCTATTAAATGCGAAACTGAAAAGCTGATGTGGCATTGTAAGAATTTATATTTTTCCCAATTTACCAACTAGCAATGAAGACAAAAAATAAATTAATGTACGCAGCTGGTTTAGAAACTTAAAGTGACATTAAAGGCAACTTTTGTTTCCCTCACCCCAACGTTAATTAAAGCACTTACCTTAAATTATGTCTCTTAATCTGATCATTTTCTTTCCTGAAGTTTTTAGCCTTCTCTCCAGCGCTGCGGTGGTTGTCCAATCCAGCGCCGACTCCTCTGGGCTTGCTGGCACTTCCTGTCCCACGGTGTCTGCATGCGGGTGCACGTGTCCATAGACTTACCTTGCATCCCTCCTCGCGTCCCGGCCGAAAATGTGAACTGCGCACGCACACCCCCCTAGATCCTTTGCGGCCGCCCGAGAGTTTTCACATTTTTGGATGGGAGCGCACGGGGAAGACACAGGTACATTTAAACCACTGTTAAAGCAGTTTTTTTTTTACTTTTTGCATATATCTAATGCAAAAAAAGCTGAGGGTTTAGTAACCCTTTAAGAAGAGAGATAGTATTATATTCTGAGTACCCGATGTGGTACAAGAATACAATGTTTTTCTCACTGTTCAATCATGAGAAAATTTCACTTTTCAAACACAGCAGGTTGTACATTGGGGAGAGGCCGTATGGATCTTGCTAATCAATGACAGACTGGTGTTCAATAGCAGTATCCTGCTTACTTAGGGGGAAGGACTTTGTGTATAATAAAACAGAATATCTATGCCTTGAAAATGTTTCCAGCTCACATACGTTTGGGACAATTACAATTTATTGTATGCACAATATTTATACAGTTATACGACCAAGGCAATGTTGGTAACTATTCCTTGGCCCTCAGCTTGAACAGATATTACACATTTACAGAGTAGATTTGGGCATAGAAACAGAGCTTTCTGTGCAATGATGTGGTCATTTGCATCCATTCCACAGTAAACCATGTTACAATAGATAACCCCAGGACTTTATAGTTATGTCACTGTTGTAAGCACCATTATTTTTCAAGGATGGGTTTCAAAGGCTTATAAAAAAAAATAAAAATTTAAATCAGCAAAATGTAATAAAACAGTTGTTAAATAATGTTCTACCTTGTCCTTGTCTTCAGCAACATCTGCTACAGTATCATCAGGGTCTAATATCCCTCCATCTTTGTATTCTAGATGATGGATCTTCACCCAATATCCTGGTTCCTTAAAAGAAAGAGAAAGCATGATCATACACAATGTCAAACTCCGACTGAAATATTAAACAAATGTCCTGTTTCTAGCAACTATGCTTTGATTTACCATAACACACATACGGTTAATTTGTCTGTTAAACCATTTGCATTAATTTGAAAATACCTTGAAGGATACAAACACGTAAATTGTTTATTCTATGACTATGTGTCTTGCATATTTTTATTTCATTTATTTACTTTTTTTTCCAGTTTTACTGAAGTATATGTTAAAAATTCACTGAAATGCCCACTTATTACTAGAAGAGAACTACATGAAAGAAAGATTTCCTCTATACAGGAAGTGTTTTCAAAAGCGTCTTATAGCAGAACTGTTTAAATCTTTTTAATCTATTAAAAAAATGTGTAAAAAAATAGGGCAAACAAGTGGCGACATGGAGAACAAAAATGTTTTCAGATACATATGGGAACTCCTTTTTAAAATAAACTGCACATGTAGGACTACTTATATATTTTTTGGAATTCACAAAAAAGAAATACATTTATACATAATATCTGTTATATAGATGGGTTTTGTGTGACTTTAGAGTAAGAGCTCTATTTTAAATGCTTTTAAATGTTTCCATTGGTGTTTAGTATTCAGGTTCTTGGACAAATTAAACTTTCATATATTTTTGATATATTGTTGTATTTATATTTGTACATCGTTTTTGATGATTGAGATAATGCCTATAATTGGATACACTGTGTATTCTACTATTAAAAAAAGAAATGTGTGATGTGTCATTGTTTAAAAGTCAGTTCTGCTATGCCACTTTGGTTACAAAGGTACAAGTTCTCAAGCTTTTACTAATAACTTGAGTTTTTATTGGTAACTATCAATTTTGTCTCAGTTTATCTCTAAAGCTGGGAGGGATGCTAATTGCCCGGTTTTATGATGATTGAGAGTCAGTAAAAAGTGTGTTGTGCTAGACTCCACTATATATCAACTATGAGAGACAAAATGAGAAAACAAATCCAGACAAAATCACATTGGCTGATTTGGAACGAAATTATTTGCAAATTATGGTGGAAAATAAGTATTTGGTCACCTACAAACAAGCAAGAGTTCTGGCTCTCACAGACCTGTACCTTCTTCTTTAAGAGGCTCCTCTGTCCTGCACTCATTACCTGTATCAATGGCACCTGTTTGAACTTGTTATCAGTATAAAAGACACCTGTCCACAACCTCAAACAGTCACACTCCAAACTCCACTATGGTGAAGACCAAAGAGCTGTCGAAGGACACCAGAAACAAAATTGTAGACCTGCACCAGGCTGGGAAGACTGAATCTGCAATAGGCAAGCAGCTTGGTGTGAACAAAATCAACTGTGGGAGCAATAATTAGAAAATGGAAGACATACAAGACCACTGATAATCTCCCTCGATTCCCTCGATTTGTTTTCTCATTTTGTCTCTCATAGTTGAGGTCTACCTATGATGCCAATTACAGGCCTCTCTCATCTTTTTAAGTGGGAGAACTTGCACAATTGGTGGCTGACTAAATACTTTTTTGCCCCACTGTATATTATAAATAACAAGACAGACTATTTGAAAATAAACATTTTATACAATACTTTAACATGGCAAAGAACAGAAACATGACTAAAAATGATATACAGTATGAATACAGTCTAATAATGGTCAGAAGCATATGGCAATAGACACTCTGTTTATCCTAATGACTAAATACTAATAGCCATTTCTCCTCCTATTAATGGATTATGTGTACAATCTAGCTGGAAGTATTTCTAGTCAGAGGAACTGTTGCCTTAAACCACTGTTGGCATAAAGTGCACTTCCATGACTCACACAGCAAACAAATCATTTTCATTCAGTAGTAGTAGTAGTCATACTTTTTTGTAGTTGGTTAGTTGTCAACATAACACAGGCACACTCTAATTCAGTGGAGCTAGTTAGCAATAGCCCTGATCTGGTATATCATACAGCTATTAAGAACTAGAAGCCTCTATGATCCAATGATGTTCTAACTAAAGTAATAATAAAAATCAAAAGGTTTTTAAGCTTTTTCATATGTTGATGATATCACAATGGATGCTGCTTCTTTAGGTTTAAAAGTTTCAAGTTCCTTCAGAATCAGCTGGTCTTCTGAGCACTGGCCCGGATATCCTGTTTTAGGGTGGCTCCTTTCTTTTGCAGGGTCTTATCGAGCCACCCTTGTGTGTACTAGTAAGCTTAGTGTTTCTTCATAAATACACAGGCAAAGCAAGCCACTCCCTTCCCCCCCTGCTTCCAACTCCTTCCTCCCTCCTTCTCTCTTCTCCAAGCTCGTAAATAGGCAGCTGCTGGAGACTGTACTCTGCCTTGTGATCTTGTACTGGACAGGAAGCTTAGACAAGAGGAGCTGAGAGTTGGAGCCCGCTGTTCAGAAACATTACAACTAAGTGCAAGGACAAACATTTAGAGAAACATTTTACTGGGCAATGTATATTTGTTTGTTCTGGATTCATTATTTAAAAAGTTTGAGAGTTTAATACTACTTTAATTCTATGTAATAAAACATGTATTTTGGTCAATCCAAAACTATCTGCACAGATCAAGTCAACAGACATACAATCATATCCTTTATCAACCTGTTTTTAGCTGGAATGGGCGACAGTCAACTCCATGTCTGTCATGTCTTAAACAGCATATCAAAGAAAGAGAATTCATGAACTCCATAGACCATAAAGTGTTAAATGACGCAGTGGACAGGCATCCACATTTTGAATGGCGATACTTTTTTAATTTATTAAATACATTCATTATAGCGCTGACAAATTACACAGCACTTTACATAGTGCACATTTATATCAGTTCCTGCCCTCAAGGAGCTTACAATCTAAAAAGGTACCTATCTCACAGGCATGCATAGGAGGGTCAATTTAGACAGGAGCCAATTAACCTTCCAGCATGCCTTCGGAGGGAGAATTTTAACAGTATTCTGCCTAGTTTTCTTCTAGCCATGGTTTCCCTGAAAATAATCATTTTGCCAACTGATCAATTGAGTCATTCAAAAGGACCAAGTGCAAGGTGTACCAATGGCCCCTCCAAACAGAAAGACCTCATGTCTCCTGGGTGACCCATCTAGATCCAACTGAGATCCTATTTTTAACACTGCAATGGGTTATGAGGTGAGAATCCTACTACTAATTGTAATTAAATTGTGTTTACATTAACATATATGTATGCAACTGCAGGCAGAGTATAATACAAAAAAAACACTAATAAAAAATAGAGGTAACTGACAACAGCACATGATGCACAGTTTTGTTTAATTTATTAATGAAAATTCCCCAAAAAATAGAGACTTCCTATTCTACTTTTGCCTTTTTGGGTAGCAACATGAAGGGTTCCCACCACCCACAGTCATTTAAAAGGATAAATAATGTCATATACAAAAGGGAGAACATGAAATATACATTCAGTTTTATAAAATCACTGGATCGACAAATTAAAGTAGTGATAAAAAATTATACAGTATAACAGATTGCAAACAACTAAACTGATTTAGTCAAATACATTTTTCCAAGGGAAACATCTTAACTGCAGTGTGAAGCTGCCAAGAGTGAATAAAGTTGCACAACTGTGTGGTCCACAGGAATGTACACTAACCCGCCAAGGAAGAAAAAAGTAAATAAAAATGAAAAAACAAATATTTCTTTTCAGCATAAAAACGGCAGTATGCAAAGTCCAAAGGACTAAACTGATCTGCTTTATTGACTGACATCTCACGCAATGTCCATGCATACGTCTTAACATTAACAGTATGGATGCATTTATGTCCTAATTTGGGAGATAATCAAACCATTTTTCCCTCCCTGTGTTTAACTTAAGGACAAAAGGTAAGAAAACCCTTCTGGTAGACTAGTTTTCCATTATTTGACACTAGTGTCTATATAATATATATATAAAATGTATCATATATATGTAACATCATTATGAGATGCAATCAGGCAAATGACCCGCCAACTATGTAACACAGTAAACTCTAGAGATTAGTCTGGCAACGCTTACTTTACAAGACTACAAAAACGTTTATTACTGTAATCCTAGAATTAGAATAAACATATTAAGGTGGCCATACACCTTACAACCCTCGCAAGACAAAAGTTGTAAAGTAATTAAAAAAAACGTACGATCAGTCCATCTTGGTACTTGCGATCGGGCGCGCACTTGTACTTGGGCCTGAAAAAGTGGCATCGGGACATCCCTAATATATATATAACATTTTTACAAAGGGGGGTTCTTCCTAACATTCCCACCAGACCTAAAAGGTCTGATATGATTTAGGAGGGAGAACACACGCCGTTTTTTTTTTGTTTGTTTGTTTACATGTCATTTTTCATTCTGTTCACGACCTCTGAGGTAGCGAACAGAATGACCAAGTCAAATACTGCTCGGCAGCATTCGGCTATACATTCTCTGCTGTTCGGCCCCTATGAGAGTAGAGGTGAACAGCAGAGAATGAACTGCTGAATGTTCACCTTAGCCGATCCAGATGTTGCATCGGCTGCGGCAAACAGATTCTTTCCTTCGGTTCTGGCACACTTGCTGAGGCTGTTCGGCTGAACCAAAGCGAAGTGAAGCAGGCCAAATGCAGCTGATGTATGGCTAAAAAAAAGCTGTACAGGGATGCTTTGAATAGCCAAAGAGGCTTCAGCTACCTTCACTTCGGCTCAGTTATTCATTTGGCTGCATTCAGCAGATTAGTGAATAACCCCCCCTCCCCCCCTAGAATATGAATTCAAAGTTCAACTGAGTGCAAATTTAAACCCTGGGAGAAGAACATCTTTCAGATGGAGATACAATGTGCGTAAATTAATTAACGCACTGCAACATGAAGATGTGGACACTTCCATTGAGCAGAGTGGTGGTGACCAACTCATTATTGGAGGAATTCATCAAACTGGAGCAGACAGACTGTGGAGCAGTTGCCCATGGCAACCAATGAGCTTCTCTTTTCAGTTTGT